GAGTATTAAAGTATGATGTTGCTCAGAAGTAGCTTCATTCAGAGGCTAGGAAACTACCTCTGATGAAAAGTGGCTTCTGAAAAATATCAGACTCTAAGGCTCTATAGGTGGATTATTTGCTTCAGATTGCATACACATGTCTGATAATTATCTTGCACATTAGTTGTTGGGTAATGATGTGAAACTTCTTGATTTTTGTGAAACTAACCCTCTGTTATCACCTTATGTTTGCTTACTTGTTTATTTGTGTTTATTGTTTTGTTTTCTAAAGATAATAATTGAGTGGTCTTAAAGTAAAGATTGTTGCCTTGAATCTTTTTGACAAATCATTTTCTATAACTTGGGAAACATCTTTCTGTTTACTTGCATCTTTTCTTTTTTAGTCTTTCCCTGTCTAAGATGGCTTCTAGATCTAACCTTGGAATGGAAAACCAATTGGTTGTCATCATTGAAGGACTAGTTAATTTTGAAGAGACGATGGCTCATAACCTTGATCTTTAAAGCATTGTCTCCCAAAATGGTTGGGATGATTTCTTTGATATGGTTTATGGTCCTACTTACCCTAGCCTAATCATGGATTTTTGGGTAAATGCTTCCATATAGGATCTACATCTAAAATTTATTGTTCTTTCTGTTGTATCTAATGTTCCTATCACCATCACCCCCACATCTATTTCTAATGGAATCAACTGTGGGGAAGAAGGTGTGGTTTTGGATATGCTCTTTTGGGAATCTTATCTGTCTCCTCATCTTATCTTTGAAGATCTCTCCGACCTATTCGAAGTTTCAAGTCTCAATTCCAAGGCATTAGTCTGGTATCACCTGTTGATTTTAAACTTCTTGCCAAAGAACAAAGATCTTACTTCGTTGGATATTGATGAAAAATATTTTATGTTGCTTCTCAGCTCATATATGAAAATTAACCTTTATCGTGTTATGTTTGATTATCTGAAAATGACTATCACTTCCTTTGAAGAGGAAAAGTCACGCTTAATTCCTAATGGAAGGGTTATTTCTGAACTCTTCATTTAACAAGGAGTTGGAATAACTATGACCGAGGTTAAACCACAAGTCTGGGGAGATAAGATGAAGCTTACAGAAGCTTCGAAAGATGTTGACCCGTTTAAGGTCAAGATTTTCTCTGTGGATGGATTTTCTTCTTCTACTTAGTTGTTTTGTTTGTTTTATTTGGTATGTGTCACTTCTATGTTCTTTTTAATAAAGAGTTATTTATTTGCTTTCTTTATATTATCTTACTTGTTTCTCTTACTGACTGATTCATAAGCATAATCATATTTTTAGGATCTCAAAGGCAATTTGTGACTATTAGAAAAGAAATGGAAACTTTATTTATAAGACATTACAATATCAGTTTCTAAACACTATTACATATGTCTTCACTCCTGATCTTCTTGGTATTTTGTCCCCTTGTAAGTCTCGATAAAAGTCTTCCAGTTCTCATACCACTCCTCATTTGCCTCTAGAATCTTGCTCTCATCAGTAACTCCACCAGATGTGCCTCCTTCATCTGATGTTGTGAATTTCTGAGTCTTTGCCAATTATTAAGTCGCCTCCTCCTCCTCCTTCTTCTTCTTTCTCTCTTCTCTTGATTCCTTTCTCATCAGATTGCGATCGTATTTTTCAAAATCGCTTATTTGCCTTGAATGTCTTCTTCTTACCCATTTTTATGAATCTCTAGAGTTGTGTGAGTTGGTGTTGTTTTTTGCATATGCTTTTATAGGGATCTGGTTATAATATCCTCCATCTTGAAGACTGTGTTTTTTGAGTCTTGTGCCTCTGAACTTACTGTTTCTTGAAAACCATGCTGCCAGAGTCTAACTTTGACCATCTTCAAAAATGTGGTTCATATTATTATCTGAGTATATGTATTTATTTTCTTTTTGTTAATGAGAAAAGGGGGAGAAATTCATGGGAGTATTTAAAAAGATTAAAAGTATTTTTAATGTTTTTAATATACATGAACCATAATTATTCAGTTACTTTGGTATTGCTTTCTTTTGAACATTTTTTACTATCAAGATATGTTTAAATTAACTTGGATAGAACTTAGGGGGAGCTTACAAAATTCAACCTATGGACTATTAGACTCAGGGTTAGCTTACAAACATCAGACTCTGATATTGTCAAATTAGTTAAAATTGACCAACCATTGTTCTTAAATATATTTGTTTGTCATCATAAAAAAGGAGTAGATTGTTGGAACAAAATTGTTCATATCCCTTGATTTTTTATGATAACTAAGCATTTAGAGAAAAAATGGGTATATTAATATTTGTTCAAGTGTGCGGGATCACAAGCTCAAAATTCACTATGAATTAATCTTGTTGAAAGCATATGTGGAGAAGCAATGTTACTCAGATTTTGAATGATCAAAATTTGACAACTATGAATGTGTTCATCAACATCTGAATGATCAGAATCTGGTAAATTATTCTTACCTTTTATGACAACTCAAACTTTGAAGGCAAAATGTGCCTCTGATCCGTACTCTGTACCAAAAGCATATCAGTCTTGTCAAGCGCCAGATTTTTGGGAAGAGTCAACTAGGGTTTCATTTTGTAAGGCTAAAGGAATGGTGATGTGACATTTTCAGTATGTTCTACCTTTTGGTAGTTACCTAGTTCTTCGAAAGATGCTGTGAACAATGCCATTAGTTAGTGGACAATATTCCTAACCAGATACATTCTCCAATGTCTCTCTTGGCATACTTCTTCACTAAGTTTAATGTTATGTTCAAACCCTCCAACGACTCTTACTCTACATATATATATGGAAGCTGAAGATTTGAAGGAATGTTACAGTAACACAACACATTTAAAGATCTTTGGCATAACTCTGAGCTGTTATTTTTCACTGTAATTGCATAAGATCTTAAAATTTCTTATCTTTATATATCTTAGAAATCTTAAGAGATTATTTGTGGTTATTGCAGAACTAGTATTCTTTTGATTTTATATTAAAGTATAGTAAATATCTTTTCTACTAAATTGTTTGTTTGAAGTAGACAAAGTCTCTTGCCTAAGTGCTTGAGCATTGAAGCCTCTTATATGTGTACTTGAGCAGTGAAGTCTCTTTCTAGATTGATTGAGCATGAGTCTCTTGCGAGGTTGCTTGATCAAAAGTCTCTTTTTAGGTTGATTGAGCATTAAAGTCTCTTGCAAGTGTGCTTGAGCAATTTGTAATTTGTTTGATTATAGTGAAAAGCTCTTGTTGAGGCAAGGGAACTTGACTACTCTTAGTTGAGGAGAGGAACTATGATAATCTTTGTGTGTTTCTTGCTTTTACTTTTGATCATTTTATTTCTGTTGTTGTTACTTATTATGATATCAGACTCTGAAGATGGTTCAGATTCTGAAGTTCTAGAATCAAAAGTGAAACGAATTTTCGACATACACAATTCAACCCCCCCCCCCCCCCCCCCCCCCCCTCTTGTATATTTTTCTCACTTTCAAACATGACATAGCCTATTATGCCGAATAGACGTATCATAATATGAGGTATAACAAACTAAACCAGATTTATAGTAGATGTACAATAATTATTATAAGCAATGGAAATTAAGCCATAGACAATTGATGTTGCCAATTGAATGTGTTAAGCAATACAAGCCATTAACATCAAGAAACCCTTCAAGAACAATCTGATTGGAAAGCTCGGATGTTATAAAAACACTTTGTTAGTATGGAACTCAAAAATGACATCATTATCTTTTGCAAACTTTGAAACAAACAATAATTTCCTATTTGCATTTTATCATTTCCTAAATAGAATGTGAATTAAAACATGACGAGCCAGTGAGACTTTGACCATTACCTATTTGCATTTTATCATTTCCTAAATAGGTAGACTTATGTCGTATAAGAAAATCAAATGAGGTAAAATGATTAGAAGCATCCGAATTTACAAACCGTACTTATGACTCCAACTCATGTGGCGAAGAATACTCTTCAGTATAGGCATGTTGATCTGTCGGACCATCATTTCACTAGGAGTGTTGCAGGTACATCAGGCACCTCATTCTTAGCTTGACTTTCAGTGGCTCTAGCATTTTCATGAACACCTTGTGTGCTTGCCACTGGGACAAAACTCGCCATACTTGTGTGAACAATCAAACACAATATGACCATACTTGCCAAAAAAGTTGGTAAGTTGGTCTTGAGCTTGAGGACACTCCTCTTGAGCGACCACCATCTCTGACTTGAATGCTTGTCCTACGTCCACTAAAATTGTGGCCACCACATGTAAAGGCGGATTCATGCTGAGCTAAATTAGAGATACATTAGAGACTGGAAGTTCTTGCCTAAACTTGCCTAAACTTATCGAGTTGAGCTTCTTAAACATAAAAAAAGAGCCTCAACATCGTACATCATAGGAGGCTCAGAGCAACCATACACTTGCATAACAAGTAAACTATACTCCTCAAAAAGACAATCAAACACAACATCAATATGGTCTTGTTCAGAGATTGAATCGCCTAAAAACAAGGAATTTGTGATAGCTTTGATTGGAATGACAAACGGTTAGACTCAACCACTTCGGCCAAATAGAATCAACACACTTAGTCTAGTTAATACTCAAAAAGATACTTGAAATACTTTGCAACTTCTGTGTTCTTCCTTATAATCATTTGGTAATTGCATGTTTTTGAAAAAATATGATTTCATTAGTTAAGATTTCAACTGCTAAATGATTCAATAACTTGTAGCATAAAATAGACCAATTGCAAACAACAGTGAAAGTTAAAGATCATTGCATCTTTACTAGTTAAGCAACAGAAACAAGATGCATCATCCAGTAGTTATTATTAACATAAGCTACTCCATGGATTAATGTTCCATAGAACCAAAACCCGAAATTACAACGAAACAGACGAAGATGGCTCTCTGACCAAAACATATTTACAAACACTCGAGCTTATTACATGATTCGAGTCAGCTCGGGTGTTGTTCCAGGGATTTTTATCGTCATCTAACAATAGACTAATAACCCCCTTGTATGTAAGCATTCAAGCGGTCAAGCTCTTGACGATGCTCGCCCACGACAGCACGAACAACATCTCCAATGGACACCATACCGAGCATTTCTTTGTCGCTTATGACAGGGATGTGTCTGATCCTGTTATCTGGAAGAAGGAAAAAAGTGGAAAAGAGACTTATTTGGTTTATTTAGTAGCATAAACACTTATGCGACTATTTGACAGAGCTTATGAAAACAGCTTATGACATGAATATGTTATGAAAACAGTTTGAGTTATAACTTTCTCTTTGGTTGTTTTAATAGCTCATACATAAGTACTTATCTGAGAAGTGCTTGTGCTATAAGTGTTTAATATTTCAATCCAAAGGACCAAAAAGCATACAAGTACCTGTCATCAGCTGCATTGCTCGAAGAACTTTGGTATCAGGGGTAACTGTGATAAGTTTGTTCTGCAGCCAACATGGAATAATGTTAGATATCATGAATGGTGAAACGAAACCGACAATTTGCAACAACATTTCCCAACACAATAGTCAAAACGTACAACGGTTCATACCTCTTCAGTCATAATATCGCCAACCTTGGTGGACTTGGATGATCTTCCTTGCACTATGATCTTCCTCAGGTAATCTGGATAAAAAGATCACAAAAGAAGCACGTGAAAAATCTCGATTAGACAACAAATAACAATACCGAACGAAAGAAGTGCATGGACAGTGGATACCTCTCTCTGTTATAATTCCAGCAATTGATTTCTCCTCGCCTGGTTTCACGACCACCAAAGCTCCGACGTTGTTTTGTGTCATCTGCAACGGACATGATTCTAGTGAGCTTTATCAATTTTGAGTTAGCACTTATAAATTTGTTTCGAAAAATAATTCCAATTAAATGCATTACCGATTTCACAGCTTCATAGACAGTGTCGTCTGTGGTGCACCAAAGCCAGGAGCCATCTGCGCCTTTACCTTTTCCTTGCAAGATGTCTGAAATTGTAGTGCTCTCAAAACCATGTTCCTCGATACGAGCAGATGTAACGGACTCAAACCGTGAAAAGGCAGCTGGCTGCAACAGGGGATTCACCATACGAACTCGTTGCAAAACAGCATTCTTTATGACGTTCCCGTTCGACAAAAATGATCGCAATGCTCCTTGCATTTTAGCTGTCTGAAAAACCAAATAGCACCTTTAGAATTTTAAGTCTATTATGCACATAAATTTCCCCCTTCACACGAAAAATATTGTACTAATGAAAACATAAAAAACTTAACAATGATTAAAATATCAGATTGAAAAAGCAAGATCGCGTCAAGCTTTTCACACAAAACACAAAGATTTCATTAAATCTAAATACATAAATCAATTTTACCACATGTTCTTCGCCAAAACTAGTTGTATTTAGATAATAGTAGTTAATTTCTCAGTAGCACCGACACCTCTGGAAAAAGGGGCGTCCGTGTCGGTGTCACATGTATGTGTTTGGTCCTTCATAGGTTATTTTGCATCCTATTACTACCAATAATAACCGAATCCATCAAGTCTTTGATTCACTTCATTTAGAAAATTAAAAAGAACAAATCAAACTTGATATATGAAACAAGTATCATAACCCGAAAAATATCCAAAATTAGAAAAAGAAACAGAAACATATGCAGAAGATCCAGAATCCAATCAATCCCAAAATCATCATAAAAAAATTACTACATCACAAATTCAACTTCTCTTTCTATTTTCTTTGATTTTAACCCTAATTAACAAATGGACCCCAGAAACCAAATCTCTCAAAATAGTCCTTCACAACACATCACATCTCCACATACATCAGCATCAACACAACACAATCAAATCCATGAAAAAAAAACCTTCATTTAATATCAAAATCCATATTTTTACATATATAAATCAAATCCAAACAAGGGACCCATATACTTAATTATCACCCCAAAAGTACATATCAACCTGATTTCAGTTTCACAGTCAAAATTTTCTGGATCAGAGCTCAAAAACAAATCAAGATCTTAACTTTATGAACCATTCAGATTCAAATTCAAGAAGGGTGTACACAAAAATGGTAAATGAAAGAACAAGTAGAAAATGAATAGATAAAGGGAAAATGAGTACCAGAGAAGAGTGAGTGAGAGAGAGGAGGTTCCGGGTGGAATGGTTGAGGTGAGGAGGCGTATGGACACAGACAGGACACTTGACTTGTTCCTCAAATTTCACAACAAAAAATGTGAAAGGTGGTGAGTGGGCCTTTTCTAGAGTTTTGGATCATGACATTATCCAAACTATAATTATTATTTTGTTTATTATTGCAACTTGTAAGTAGGTAATTGATTGATAATGAAAGCTTCATTATCTTATTTATTTGTTGCTACTATCACTATATTATATGCTTAATTTTTATTTCAAGTTAGGGAATCTTCATCTTTCTTTAATAAACCTTATATCTTATGTCTTATATGTTGTTAGGATGTTATTGGTTAATAGAAGAAAGTGATAAGGGAAATTGTGACACACAGATGAATGATAAGGGAAATTGTGACACACAGATGAAAAAAGATAGAAAGGAAATAATTTTAAAAAAATTATTATTCCTAACATAATTAAAAATTAAATATTTTGTGTCGGTATGTTTGAGTTTTGTGTTTGGTGGAATCTATTTAAATATGAGATGTAACATAATCGATTAAAATAAGGTGAAGCATAACACAGAGATATAAATTTCATTTTATCGTTTTTTTGATTGATTCAAGATTCTTGTTTTTCACTTTTTATTTGAGTGAATCAATCACACCTTAATTATAAGATGATTCCTTTTGCACAACGATATTGTAAAAGAAGAAAATTTGAGAAAATAATAATTTTGGAAGAGAAAAAAGGAATAATGTATGGAAGTGAGAGGAAGAATGTTTATCGACCAATATGTCAAAAACTCTTTTCTAAAACTTTATGTGTGTTTTCACTACTATACAAATACACGATGTCTTTCTATTTATAATGAGATTACTTGCACATCAAACATTTTCAAAATAACTGGCTAACTAACTAACTTCGACGTACTGTATTCGACTATGTTGAATACATACAACTTTGACTACTGCAAGTTGTATTTATCTTTTTGTCGAATGCATGCATATTCAACTACTACAAACTATATTCGACTCTATCGAATACATACAACTTTGACTCTGTCAAATTCTGCATTTTACAAAAATACTTAACACAAAGAATTGCATATTTAACACACCACCCTAATTCATTGTGCCTAAAATATCTACATTCATCATAGTTCTCAATCTCTTGAACAATTCCACCTGCACAATTTTTATCATGATGTCAGCAATCTGATTCTCAATTCTGCAGTGTTACAAGTTCAACTTCTTATGTGTTACTTGTTCTCTAGGATAATATAATCTTATTTATATGTGTTTGCTTCCTCCATGGATTATCTGGTTCTTAGCCAAATTGATAGTAGACATGTTATTAATCTTCATGATCATTACTTCATGATTCTTACCTGCAATCTCCTCAATCTGATTCACCATCTATATTGCTTGACATACACAAAGAAAGACATGTGTGTACTCAGCCTCACATGACGATAGAGCTACATCTAGTTCTTTTCTTGAGCTCCAAGCAACTGGTGCACCACCTAGCATAAACACATAACCAACTGTGAATTTTCTATCTTCAACATCACCACACCAACTTGAGTCAGTGTATCCCACTAGTTTGTATTCCTTTTCTTTATTTTTGCAGGAAATAAAATGTCAATATCTAATGTTCCTTTGAGTTACCTTAGTATGCTTTTGGTGGCTACAAGATGAGATACCCTTGGCTTTTGCATGAACCCACTCACCATACCTACACTATATGCTAGATCAAGCCTTGTGTGACACAGTGTCGCAACGCGAAAAATACCCGAGTGTATGAACCCTCAAAATACAACAGAGTCGTCGTCGAAGTTTATTTATTCCACAAGAAAAGAGAAAATATTAATAAAACCCTTAAAGAACAATAATATAGTCATTGCAACAAAATTCGAGTTCGGGAGTCGGTTATGTTAGGGGAATGCTTAGCACCACTCACATCCGTTGTAATCAAATAGGAACCGTTTAGTTAGTTTTGCGAATAGAGTGTTAGTGTATGTTTATTTGTTTTTTTTCCTAGTTAGTATAAAATTGAAAGGAAAAAGAAAAGGACTAAAAATAAGTTTTTTATTAGGGTGCTTGACAAGATTGCGAATCTTGCTCCTATGTATCCGTAGATGTGATAAGGAATTCAAAGTTACATAGTTCTTTGTAGCAAAAGTTTGTATGTTGGTTGATTTTAGTGAACGGTGTTTAAGTCACATTTTAGAGGTTAAAAGTTGCTTGTATGCTCGTGTGTAGGAAGCTTAAGCTTTTGTTTATATCGCGGTTGAATGGATAAAACATTATTCGGTTGTGAAATATTTATGGTCGCATTAAGGCGGGAAAATACAATTTGATTAGTTGGGTTGTTTTTAGGTGGATGACGAGTATTTGAACAACAAGCTAATTACGACTAACATTCAAATAGTCGGGGAAATGAATGGATAATTACATCCAACTAATCCTTTTTCATCCAAATTGTTTATGAAATTTGTGAGACGAATTAAGTCGTAAGTCTTTATCATAAGACAAGTATTCGAACAACAAGCTAATTACATCTAGTGTCAAATATTCGATGAAGAGGGTGGATAATCACGTCCAACTAATCATTTTTCATCCAATAAGGGCCAAACTAAATTTGATTAATTAACATTTTTTGAATGGAAGACGAGTATTCAAACAACAAGATAATTATGGCTTACATTCAAATACACGGGGGACCAGAATGGATAATTATGTCCAAGTAGTCATTTTCATCCGATTTTATTGTGAAAAATATTTTGAAATGTTTTTGATTAAACGGAAAAGTACTTGACATGGATAACGCATTTGATTTCGAAAATGTTTAAGTTTGAAAAAAAAAGGACTTGATGTTGATCAATTGTTTTGGTTTTTAAGTTAAAAATGGTTTGAAACGTTTATTGATTTGATGGTGAAGTGTTTGAAAATTAAATTGAAAGTTTTTTTTATAAAGATTAATTTTAATGGTTTTTTTTTATGTTTTGTTAACACATACCAATTAAACAATTAACTAATAAAAATAAAATAAAACAACATAAAAGATATAATAAAAAGGGATGAGGTGCACTATCAATACAATGATGTGAAAGAGAAAAAAACACTAAATGGGCTTAAGACCTAAAAGAAGATATAAGAAAAATTTAAAAAATAGTGAAAATAGGGGTTCATAACCCAAACAGGGGGTGACACTCCCAAATAGGTGTTTGGGCCAGCGGAGACCTAACATCAACTATCTCACACTATTAGAGGTGTGAGGCTAGTGAGGGTGTTTTCTAAGTGAAGAGAAACGGGCCCATAATACTAGAGGCCTAGTGATCCACAAGAGAGGAAGATCATCTCCTCAGCGCGTGACCATCTGATATAAAATCAGTGGTTAACATTTAATCACATTGTCGTACCTCGAAAAATATGATCCTCGCGATGGACGCGGAAAATACGTTCGAACAGAGTCGCCACCGAACTTTATTCATTCCAAGGCAGGAATACGAAAATATCGATAAAACCTTTAAAGGGATAAGAACATGGTCATCGCAACCAATATTTTAGGTTCGGAAGTCGATTACGCAGAGGGAAGGTATTAGCACCCTTTACGTCCGTTGTACTCAACGGGAACCTCTTAATTCGATTCGAGAGTAAAAGTTAGCTACGCTTGTTTGTTTTCTTCTAAGATTCTCCTAAAGGGGGAAATGGGTGGTTTAAAGATAGGGTGCTCGCCAAGGATTGGGGCATTTGTGCCTAGGTATCTTCACTTGTAAGAAGTGGAAAATCAGAGCATTCGTAATTCGTAGGACTACGGGAAAAATAAGGGATTGTGCTCGCCAAGATCATCGCAATCTTGTGCCTACGTATTCTCATTGATAAATGAGAAATCAGAGCAGCCGTAGTTCGGCTAACTACGGTTTATGGGTTTGGTATGGGAACGAACGAGTGTTTAGGTCGCATTCTAACTGCTAAACGTTGGCTTGTCTGCTCGCTAGGGGAGGCTGAAGCACTAGTTTGTTA